AAACGTCACAACGTAACTGGGTGATTATAAAGGAGTACTACAGGTGTCTCCGAAGGTACATGTTGAGTTGGCGTATTTCGAGATTAGGTTTTGTCACTCCGATTGTCGGAGAGGTATCTCTGGGCCCTCTCGGTAATACTCATCACTTAAGCCTTGCAAGCATTATAACTAATGAGTTAGTTATGAGATGACGTATTACAGAACGAGTAAAGAGACTTGCCGGTAACGAGATTGAACTAGGTATTGGATACCGACGATCAAATCTCGGGCAAGTAACATACCGATGACAAAGGGAACAACGTATGTTGTTATGCGGTTTAACCGATAAAGATCTTCGTAGAATATGTAGGAACCAATATGGGCATCCAGGTCCCGCTATTGGTTATTGACCGAGAATGTTTTTAGGTCATGTCTACATAGTTCTCGAACCCGTAGGGTCCGCACGCTTAACGTTTCAATTACTGTTTTATTATGAGTTTATAAGTTTTGATGTACCGAAGTTTGTTCGGAGTCCCGGATGTGATCACGGACATGACGAGGAGTCTCGGAATGGTCGAGACATAAAGATTGATATATTGGAAGCCTATGTTTGGACATCGGAATGGTTCCGGGTGAAATCGGGATTTTACCGGAACACCGGGGGGTTACCGGAACCCTCCCGGGGGATATTGGGCCTTAGTGGGCCAAAGGGAGAAGAGGAGGGCCGGCCAGGGCAGGCCGCACGCCCCCTCCCCCCCTAGTCTGAATAGGACAAGGAAGGGGGGGGGCCCTTTCCTCTTTCCCCTCCCCCCTTTCCTTCTCCACCAAGGCAAGAGGGGGGAGTCCTACTCCCGGTGGGAGTAGGACTCCTCCAGGTGCACCCCTAGGGGGTCGGCCGCACCTCCCCCCTCCCTCCTTTATATACGGGGGCGGGGGGCACCCCATAGACACACAAGTTGATCTTCGTGATCGTTCCTTAGCCGTGTGCGGTGCCCCCCTCCATGATATTACACCTCGGTCATATTGTAGCGGTGCTTAGGCGAAGCCCTGCGACGGTTGAACATCAAGATCGTCACCATGCCGTCGTGCTGACGGAACTCCTCCCTGAAGCTCTGCTAGATCGGAGCACGGGGTGCGTCATCGAGCTGTACGTGTGTCAAGAACTCGGAGGTGCCGGAGTAACGGTGCTTGGATCGGTTGGACCGGGAATACGTACGACTACTTCCTCTACGTTGCGTCAATGCTTCCGCTTCGGTCTACGAGGGTACGTAGACAACACTCTCCCCTCTCCTTGCTATGCATCACCATGATCTTGCGTGTGCGTAGGGAAATTTTTGAAATTACTACGTTCCCCAACAAAAACATATGTCTCGATGTCGATAGTTTGATATTGAGATTTGCTCCTTTGATGATGGAGAGATACTCTCTATGACAACTCGGTGTTATGATATCATTATCGTCTGGCCAGACATGTGTGATGATGATCACAGGGATACTAGTATATGGATACGAGCAAATAGAACCAAACTAGTAACGAGGATAACCGGTATAGTGATCAAGAAGTTGATCACAGAGATACAAATAATATCTTGCATTTGTAATGTATCATGCAACAAAGGAAGTGGTATTTAGGAACAAAAGGTTTGCTCGCGCATTTTGTGAGTATGCAGGAGTTAACAAGGGTGTCCATATCCCATTGTTAACTATTGACCAGAAAGTGTCCCAGGTCATGTCCGCTTTATTTCCAACTTGTAGGATCACATGCTTAACGAGTAACAGCTATGATAACTAGAGGAATGAGAGAATGAGCACCGAAAATGTTTTGGATGGACCGGGAAGTGTTCCGGATCGTCCCGAAAGGGTTTCGGGCATTTCAAAAAGGTATGACATGTCCAAAAAAGCTTTGAAAGGTTCCAGAAACTTCTGGAAAAAATCTAGGATTTTATTTGTGTAAGAAGTCCCTCTTAGGCCTACCCAAGTGGACAGGCCCTAGTGGGCCGTTTGGTCTCAAAGTGGGGGGCCCAAATATATGGTAGGGGTGGACGAATTGGACTAGAGGAGGAGTCCTTCCTCCCTACTTCAGACGGATAGGAGGTGGACTCCTCCTCATGGTGGTACCTCCCCCCTTCTTTTCACCTATAAATATGTGGAGAGATACTCTATAGAGACACACCAATCTTTAGGGATCTCTCCCACATGAATTCACTCTCAACACGGTCTAATTAGTCGGCAGGCTCTAATCCCCATCTAATTGGTCCAATAGAGTTAGACTCCTAATCAGAGGGAACACTGCTAGGTCATAACCCACAATTGTAAGGGGTCTATCCTAGCCTTTTCGAAAAGTAAGAGTCTCCAACCCAGCGAAAAGCGGAAGAAATTGGTTGATGGAAAATAACAAGAGTTAGCTGTAAAAGTTGCAAAGAGTGTTTTATGATTTGTTTGAAAGCAAGAGTAGTCACAAGAAAGTAAATAGTAAAAGCATCTCTAACAGATCCGGTATACACCGTCCCGCAAAAATCCGTTTACAGGATACGGCAAAACATTTTTTTGATATGACTTTTGCTCTGCCAGCACAAATCCCTAAAAAAATCATGGTCCTGGCAAAATTGCATCCCCCCAAATGCCAGCTAAATTACGATTGGGCCGCATCCCCGCCGCGCTTGGGCGAACGGGCTCGGCAGCCATGGCTAGCGTGCTATGCGGCGGGAGCGGCAGCATGGCGGCGCCGTGCGGGGACTTGGGCACCACGACCACGAGGAGCAAGCAGCAGCAACAACTAGCTAGCGGCGGCAACAGCTAGCTAGCTCGCGTAGCTCGTGGCTCGAGTAGCGACAACGGTAAGCGAGGCGGCGGCAGCTCGCGGGGCAGCTCCAGCAGTGGCGGCAGCTAGGGTCCGGTGGTTGCTGGCGTCGAGGCGTTCGGCAAGGCCGCGCTCAGGGAAGACCGAGGCGGGAGCCGAAACTTCTCTCTCGCCAACCGTTTATAGGTTTTGCAATCCCTTATAAAAAAGAACTCAAATCCCGTAAATATGAAGGAAATGGGCCGCGGTTTGAAGGATCCCTAAAAAAATTCCGGGATGGACGAACATACGGGATTTGTTCCGACCGGGAAATTAGCCTCCGCCCGTAAACCGGCTTTTATTTTGCCGGATGGCCCGGGTTTGCGGGTTCTGCTAGCTAGAGATTCTAACAAAAATTGCAAACTGTGTGAATTGACTTGAGGCCAAACGGGTCCATGACCCCTACAAAAGTTGGTGAAAATTTACTAGTAGTACTATGCATTCTCGTTGCTCAGGGCCAGCCCATTTGCCGATAGAGCGATTCAGAAAGCAGTCTGTCCGCCTCCAGCCTCCGCGTCGGCCGCCGGCGAGGTGACAGCTTATCCTGAGCTCTGACCAGCAGTCACTTCTGACCTCCTCCTCGGAAGCCCCATCCCCTTCCAACCACGCGGCACGCCCACGGCTCGCCGTCCCAGTCCGCCCACACCGGCAGCCCGCGGGCCGGCGCCCGAGGCTCCTCTGGCTTCTCCGCGCTTGGAACCCCGTTATCCGTACACGGTTCATCCATGCCGGCAGTGCACGCTGAGACGCCGCTCCCTCGTCGGCTCGTCGCCCACTCGCCGTGGACCCTTGGTTTTGGTTAGGTATGTTCAGTAAGCACCTCCTATTTTTCTGATTAGTCCAATCGCCCAAGTTGTCCTATTTTTCTGATTAGTGCAAGCGCCGAAGATGATTTAGTACTAAAATTTCGATGTCGAACCCCAGTAGTGTACACCCATTGGTTAATTGTTGAAATTTGGATGCTTTATGCAATTTTATTTATTTATGAAGCAATGGGGAAACAGCAGAGTCGATGCAGCCATTGGCGGAAATTGGTAAATCTCCATCATCTCCTGATGGTCTAGCATTGGTGGTCGTTAGGTGTAGTATTTTCTGGAACCAAAATTTACTTACAATGCCCAGGTATGTCTGAACTTGTCATATCTGTTTTATTTGGATGTGTTCATCTTGATGATGCCCAAGTAACATCCAAAAAAAATTGTGTGTTCTAATATAGTGATATGGTCAATTGTGTGAACTGATGACATGTTCAATTGGTCATTTAATTATCCCTTTCTATTCTACGACTTAGTAGTATCCTTTTTCATGCATATTGTGTGTCTGATATGGAGTTGACCTACAAGTTCATGACCATTGTAATCCTCTCAACAATAAAGACATATATGTAGGACGTAGGGCTATTACTCATCCCTGGACCTGAACCTAGGTAAAACTACCATGTCACCTTCATCGCCGTTGAGATCCCTTTGGGCACCATCTGTCACTCTACATTCCTCGACTCCATGTAGATCATAAAATCGGATGTGCATTAATCGTCGACACTTTTCAACAGCAAAAGATTTTCTGATTCCTTGTAAGTTATCCACCTGACTATTGGATCCATATGTGGTCCTTACTTTAGTGTGTGGAGGCATGACATTCTCAGATATCTTGGTGTAGCCAAATCTATCTTCAACCTATTTTGATTATGGTCTACCAGTAGGACCATTGATGCATAAGTGCGTCATGTTATCCCTACTGAGGCTATCTTAGCCTCCACTGACATGTTTATTCTATTTTCTATAAGACTTGACGCTTCATAATAAAAGATGGTTGCGTGCATCAATCAATGAACATATTATGAGCTCTCATTTAGCCTTGCTAATGAGTACGGTCAGCAGGGTCCCTCCTGTTTAGCCTTTTATACTGTATCTGACTTCTGGAGCAAGGAAATATCCAGAGATTTACTCTCTTCAACTTCATCAGTTAAATATGACAGCTCACCATGTATTGCACAGAATTTCTGGTAGAAATAAATAGCAAAAGAAACTTGGAAGACAATACAGATGGTACTGTTTTTCCTAGGGTACCAAATTGATGAACTCCTCCAAGGAATATAGCTTCATGCGTATCTCTTTTGGAAAGCGTAGCACTAAAAGCTGATTTATTTTCTCTCTCTTGGAAAGCTGCAGCAAGTAAACAATCAAAATTGACAGTCTCTTCTAATATTTGTGTTTGATGTGTGTGACCGATATTCCTTGACCAGCTCACGAAAGAGAGATCCTTCAGTCTCCATGAGCTTTGCAGGCTTGTCATACTCTGCTACTCTCCCTGAAGTGTTCATGCGTACATCATTAGTATGGGAAAGATCTACAATATACTCCATATTTGGTATCAACTATAATTCATAAATTCCATATAAATTGGTGTTGTCAATAAGATGATGGGTTGAACTATAAGAAATAACTATATTTCTAATAAGTTGCTGGTAAGAGAAACATACCATCTCTCAATGCAAGTATCATATCACAGTCCATAACTGTTGGTATACGGTGTGCAACTGTAATAACGGTGCAATATTTGAACTCTGTTCGGATCGTTTTCTGAAGGACAACATCTGTTGCGTTGTCTATAGAGGCTGTCGCTTCATCAAGAACTAAGACGCGGCATCTTCTCAAAAGTGCGCGTCCCAGACAGAAGAGCTGTCTTTGGCCCATGCTCCAGTTCGACCCATCTTCCACAACTATTATGATAGGATTTTGATCAGTACCATGAATAAGATAGTTCCAAACATCATGCTGGCAGAAGGATATATAGCTCTGTCCATAGGCAGGTCTGGACGCAATTTCTAAAGACATTACATTCAACACATACACATTGAACATGATTTTGTTTTTGCTAAGAGCCCGTTGGTGTATTTGAAGTACTGGCCTGCACGCCCATGGTACTCCTCCTTTGGTGGAGAATACGCTAGGAGGACTACTAACAATTTAACATATTTAGTAGCAGATGCATTTTCACACCTATTTGAATTTCTGGAATAACTAGAGCGGAGTTTTCTGTTTACCCAATCTATTAGTTTCAAAAGAGGAACTCCGTAAACCAATTATAGATGAAGTGCAGTTTCATACCAAGTGAATCCAATCCATGTCCCTTCTCTTGGACAGCTTCAAGAAGTTGACATTTGCCAAGAACCTGTATCATAATAACAAATGGAGTAGCCACTTTAGTGGTTCCTTTTGAAATGTACATGTGCCATAAAATGAGAAAGGAGGCCCTAAGCCTAGCTCAGTTGGTGGAAGGTGTGGCTGCAGCTGCACACTTCTACCAGGCAATCACTCATGTTTAAGTTTTCAACCCAACTTTCGGTGCCAATTTCTTCGATGAATGAAAAGTTGTCAAGTAATTCCTAGGCAATCTAGTTTTTATATGAGAAAGGCAACTTGTCATCTGAGATTCCCCTAATTGGCTAACTTGGTTTATTCGCCCTACTTTGATAATGTGCTGAACTTTCTGAATTTGTTAGGTACTCACTCCGCCCCATAATAATATGCAGATTGGTATTCGTGAAAGTCAAGCTTCACAAACTTTGACCACACAATACCTAATATATACCAGATGAAAATAAATTTCGTGATGAATCAAATGGTATTGATTTGGTATTTTACATGTTGATAAATTTTTTTATAAACTTGGTCAAAGTTTACAAATTTTGACTTAAAAAATTCGAATGTGCACTATATTTTCGGACAAAATGTCAAAGTAACTGAGTTGAATTGCCACAGTACTAAAGATGACTGTCACATGATTAAACATTATAGCAGGTTGTTTTGATCTAATACCTTTTCATCATAATATTATCTGATCAGTGGGTAAAATGAGAAAAATCAACGTAGATAGCAGGGTAAATCTTACCTCCCATATTTCTAGATCTGAGAATTGTCCAAGAGGATCTAGATTATATCTTATTGTACCATGAAAAAGTATTGGATCTTGTGGAATGATACCCAAACGCGAACGCAGGTCATGTAACCCTATCGTACCGATGTCCATAGAGTCTATAATTATTTTCCCTTCATCAGGTTCAACAAGACGAAATAATGCACCAATTAACGTTGTCTTGCCACTTCCTGTCCGACCAACTATACCAATCTTATCTCCACCTTGGAACTTGCAAGTGATTCCATGTAGTACAAGGGGAGTATCTTTCCTATACCTGATCTGTTGAATGAAAATTAATCGCTTAAATTTGTTAGTACTGTTAGGTGTACATGTAAATATTTATATTTGATTACCTTCAAATCTCTAAGTTCCACATAGCCATCTTGGGGCCAATCTTGCAATGGCCGATTTTCTTCAATAACTTCCGTTGCTTCACTTTGTATGTCCATGTACTGGTTCACCCGTTCCACTGAGATTATTTGATTCGCAAGGTTGCATTGGTTTTGAATAGAGCAAACAAAGGACACATTTAGCGAAAGACCATAGGACAATACCATTCCCACAAAACCTGTGCAAGTACGAAAGCAATGAATTAATTCTACTATTTGTAATGGTGCTATTCATAAACTGTATAGCATCAAATACTTATTTAGTTGACTCCGGCACATAAGCATTAGGACTTAAATACATTTTCATAAAAGATGAAAATGCATCCATAAAATCACCAGAGCAAGTGGTAGTTTGAGAAATGCATGGTGTTTCTTATTCACCCTATTCTGCCTGGACATTACTACCTCAATTAGTAAACGCAAGATATTCTAAAAAGTGTTCATTTAAACATTTCTAACTTCACTAGCAAGTAAAGCTTTTCTAACTTTGAGTACTATTATATGAAACGTGTATGCACAGGTAAGCTCAAAATACTATCATATTCTTTATCAATGTTATTTTCATAATATAATCTTTTCTAGTTTTCTACCAACATGCACATAACAAAAGTAACAGTCAAATAAATTTGTTGGAGACCCATGTCATGTCCAAAATGTTATCTATTTATGCGTGGAGGGAGTATAAGTATGCTCTCATGACAAAAGATATGAAAAGGTAGCAACATTTACATGGCAATGCATCTAACATTTATCACAAATTAGTTGTAAGCACCGATGGCCTTAGAACAAGCTGGCTACTCAATTTTGTCCAATTGAAGCAGCATGGTGTTCATACAGTTGCTTACCAGGGCTAAAAGTTCCTTGAGGAAGAAGAGCCATGACAAAGGCAGAAAAAGAAAGCACGGAGGCGCTCATTATTTCCAGGCGTTGAATCAACCATTCAGTTGCGGCAAAATTACAGAAATATGCACTGGCATTCTTGTCGACAAGATCCAAATTTTTAGCAAAGAAACGATCTTCTTCCCCAAAGGCCCTTACTGTTATAGCCCCTGAAATCGATTCGCCTAAGTGATTCACCAGAGCAGACTTGGTAGTACCATTGATCCGCATCAGCTCCTTGGCCGAGGCTAGATAGTACCTCTACATGACCAAACATAATAGGTTTCAGTTAATGATAATTTTGAATACAAAACTGTAGGCTCATTCACGCCAGACAAAAATAGCAGCAGAGAACATCAATTGGTGAATCTAATCAAATAGTGACAGAAATGAGAATTAGCCATAAAGTAACAGTAATACCAATTACCTGCAACCTAATTGCCAAAACTATCATTGGCACAGATACAAATAAAACTTCCCATGTAGCAACAACCAATACCCCTAGATTGCTATATGTATTTAAAGTATCGCCAAGGCTAAACACGAAGGCAAATGGAAGATCGAGGTCAATGATACTCAAATCTGAAGAGGCCTGCATTAAAAGAAAAAAGAGAACAAGTTAATCCATCAGGAAAAAAAATCTCTGGGTGTAAAACAGAACTGTAGTTTATTTTATTTGCCATTTGTTTAAGAATTCTTACCCGGCTAAGAACCCTTCCTACAGGAGTAGAATCAAAAAAGGACATTGGTGCACGGAACATTGATTTGAGCAACTGGGAAAATAAGGATCTTGATGTCTGGATCCCAAGAACGACGACTACTAAAGATCTTGATAGCATGAAGAACATTGTGCAAACTCCAATTATAATGTACACAGAAATTAACTTCAGCGTACTAACATGAGGATTCTGGACATTAGCAGCCATCCATGAATTCTGTGATATTTGCCCAGCTACGAAAATTATGTGAAAAATAACACAAAAGGAGAAATACAGGAAGCCTTTGTTCTCGCGCAGATAAAGCATATAAGGCTTAACACCTGAATCCCCTTTTTCTCTTTCCTCTTTCTTGATCAGTTGATCTGCCGGCGATGGCTTCATAGACTCTGTATATCTGCTTCCATGAATACCATCTGTCTCCTTTATTGATACTTCCTTAGATCTTTGAGGGGGCATATTGTTATTAAGATCCGATGCACCAATAGTATCTTTATGGGCAGTGACAAGGTTTTTAAATTCTTCACAATCTGCCAATAAATCTTGATAAGGTGCAGACTGGATAACCTCTCCATCCGACATTAACTGCAAAAATTTATCGCAAATTTTAGATTAATCCACAAATAAATAAAGCTCATTACATATAAATATAAATTATAGAGGCACAAATATCATCAAATGGTGACTTTTTTGAAGTGGAGAGAGGTACCAAAATGGAGTCAAATGCAGGTAAAAAATCCACTTGGTGGGTCACCAAGAGAACAGTCTTGTCTGATAGAGCACTCATGACATATTCCTGTTACAAAGAGCTTTGTAAAGCAGTTCACAACCAAATAGTAATACAATCTGCCTCTGCTGAATATGATCCTTACATTGAAGAGACTTGTGGCTGTATGGGCATCAACGGCACTGAAAGGATCATCAAGAAGATAGATGTCCGCATTTTGGTATAGTGCACGAGCAAGCTGGACGCGCTGCTTCTGACCACCACTAAGATTTACTCCTCTCTCCCCAATTTGAGTACAATCTCCATATGGCAACATTTCAAGGTCCTTGACCAATGAGCACCTCATCAGTGTGTTGTGGTATCTTTCTCTGTCCATCGACGATCCAAAGAGAATATTGTCTTGCACGGTTCCTGTTTGGATCCATGCATTCTGAGAAATATATGCTATTTTCCCAGAGACTTGGATCTGAAATGTTTATGCAAAGATCAAGAATTTGATGTTAAGATGTTATGGAAAAACATGATTAATGTACTTCATGTTGGAAATATTACCAAGCCTAATTCTCATAACAACTTTGCAAACTTTCGTTAAAAGATGATGTTAGTAAAGAAACATACTGTGCCTTCAGTTTTGAGGACCTCTCCGAGCACAGCAGACAAAAGCGTCGACTTTCCTGAACCTACCTCTCCACAAATTGCTACCTTTTCTCCAGCTTTGACTATCAGATTTATATTCTTTAGAGTTGGTTTTGATGTACTCTCAAGATACACGAATTCATCGCTATTGGGTAATCAATGCCAACATAATATTTCTTCGTAACTTGCCTGTTTAGCTCAGGTGCATCAAGGAACTTTGATATCCGGGTGAAAGCAACCTTAGCTTGTATGACAACTGCAATTACATCGGGTATTGACCTAACTGGGTCTTGCACAAGACGTAGAGTTGCCACGAAGGTGAAGACATTACTAGCATCAAGAGGAATTTTCAGAAGATAGCATGTTAGAAAGGTCACTGCTGAAACCAGGACAGGTGATGCCCAGAACAGGAAACTGTTGTACGCCCTACTAAGCTGGAATGCTGACAACCACTTGTACTCAACCTCCCTCAACCCCTCGATGACCTTCTTGAAGTGAGCTTCCCACGCATAAAGTTTCAAGACCTTCATGTGAACTAGTGACTCAGACATGGTCTTCAATCTCTCATCTTGTGCTTCCATAAGTTTACTCTGAAATCTGTGTTGCAGTTTGGCCAATGGAGCGTTGCAGAGTACAGTGATAATGATGACAACCAATGACGAAAACATTGCAGCACCGACCGCATTGTACAGAATAGCCAGGGCAATGCAAAGCTGAACAATTGTTGTCCATGTTTGGTGGAACCAGTATGGGAATTCCCCAATCCGATAGGCATCAACGGTCATGTAGTTCATAATTTCTCCAGTAGAGTGCTTCATTTTTGCTGCATTTGATAGCCTCTGTTGTTTCTTGTAAATTGCTGCTGATAGGAGTGACCTCACTTGCAGTCCTAATCTCCGAGTGCGGAAATACCACTGTCTCTGTGAGAAGGATTCACAGCATTTGCAGACGAATATTACCACAGCAAGTACATATCCTTCATGTTTAAAGGTCCCTTTCCCAAGTGATACATTGACGAAATCCCTGAGAAGTATTGGGCCTGTGGACAAGGACAGAACCTTGAGCAAAGCAAAGAAACCCGAGACCAAGATGGCATGCTTGTGGCAAGAAACAATAGTCCAGAAGAATGATGGCGTGGGGTGCGACGGCGACTGCTTCTTGCCATTCAGCTTCTCCATGAACATCGTGTACAGGTTGCGCGCTCGATCTGTTGTGCCTAAAAGTGGCATGTCTTTGTCCTCAAGGGGCTTCTCATAGCCCATCTTCATCAGAGGATTCAACCACCAAAATGTCATCTTGCTAAAAAAATCAGCTTTAGCAAAGGGAGTTACCTGACTGTCAGAATCAGCTACCTCACTGTCTGTCTCCGTGTTCAGGGGCTTGTACAAACCACTTCCACTTCCTCCATAACCCTCTTCATCATGGCTGTGCCGCATGCCATAAAGGAGGAGAACTGCACCTGGTAGGGACAGAACATCTAAACATGCCTTAATGGTGACCGTCTTCTCTGCAACAATATTAACAACCGAAGAACAACAGATGAATGCTGCACAGATGGTCAGCAGGACCGGCCAAAATCTAACAAACGCTGCTCCAAGAAACAGAGGCCTGATGCTGAAAGCGAAGCTGGCAAGGACTAGATTCAGTCCTTGAGATAATGTTACAAGCCACCAATGTGGAAGGTAAACAACGGAAGCAACCTTATTGAATCCAGTCCCCAGCATCCACAGACCTAGCCCGAGATAAACCAAACCCAGGCAGCCATTGAACACCACAGCCGAGAAGTGCAGCGGTGAGCTGAGCGAGATGAGCTGTCGCGCGGACACTCTGCTATTTGGAATTTTGACTAGCAACTGGAGCATGAGCACGAATACGAGCAGCGCAACGACACCGGTCGCCACTAGGTGATTAATACAGGTAGAGGAGTCGAATATTTCCTTTAAAGCACATGATGCCACATGTTGGTTGGTGCATATTGATCTGCCACACAAGTTCATCACCCAAGAACCTGAAATGCAGTTGCAACGTACAATGGTGAGATGAGATTATTCCCGGATTTTAGTTGTGCATGGTCAAAAGGTAACAATAATTATAGTCTAAGAAATGATTTAACATGAAGTTGATTTAGTTTCTAGCTATGTACTCTCTCCATATCACAAAACACAAATACATGTCCTTTTGGACGTGTTTTAAGTCAATTTTGAAAACTTTGACTATATATATTGTCTGAGATTAAGAACATGTAAATCAAATGTTCAGATTGATCTCCAAAAGTATATGTATGATATAATTACTTTCTTGTGTTATATATACACCATAGTAAAAATTAGTGGTCAAAATTTAAATCTTGAAGACCGTGCTAGTATACAAAACGACATGTATTTTTGTGGCATGGAGGGAGTAACAAGAGAAAGTGAGGAGAGAATTTACTTGTGATGGAACCCATATGTATTGCACTCTCGGCTGGATCGGGTCTTGTTGCAGCCCTGCGCCAATCATGAACAAGAAAATAGTTATACCAGACAAAGCAGTGAAAATGTTACATTCCACAGGTCTTTCGAAAAACAACCCTCTAACACAATATTCACTGTCATCTCCATTTCTCTTGACTTATTTAGATTTTTTTTTTAATTTGCCTCGATGTATGCATTGAAATATAATTCAGAAAATCATGGAAAACAAATCTTAGTGGAAAAGGCATGAATATTGTGACTTGTGGTTAGCATTCAAAATCTTTCTATTTTAGGCACCGGATTTACTTGGTTAGGGCACAAAAGTATTCCTTTTGTGTCAAAATTGACATGAACACATACACCAACATGATGCTGGATTCTTCTTCTTATTATTTTTCGTGATTGTTCGTCCTGGAAGTTCTATTGATGTGCAAAAATAGGAACTGAGTGTGTGTCCTCTTTTTAGTGATGACCACTACGAAGTGAGATAGTAGCATTAGCGCCAAGAGAATAGAGAAGAGACTACTTGTCCTAGACCAATTACTGTACACTAGAACTTTTACTATACACTGGGCACTACAAATCGCTATATTAACTTAGGTAAGACCCAATAGTATTAAGAATAGGAGCAGGTAGACCATGGTCCATAAATTTTCTATCGATAAAGTAGAGTGGGGGTACTAAAAACACTAGTTCTGAATCAACATTAGAGAGGCCAAATTCCACGAAATTACTCTGGGGTGACACAGAAATTCCAATGCCGGGAACACAAAAGATGCAAAATCGAGGAACCCAAAAGGTGAAGAAGAAAGCAGTACTCGTCAACTAGGTACCTTCTTCACGATCCACGAACAAGAGGGAGATGATTTTCAGAGGGCCAGTGGAGAAGAGCAGAAGTGTTTTTTCCAGATGAAAAAACGATAGGAAAGGCAATGCAAGTTCACGCAGAGAGAAAGCAAGGATCCATCACCCGGTCTCGAACAGAAGCCCCGGATTGTGTTTCGAAGCTCGCGGCGGCGACGAGGAGACCAAGCATGATTGCCAAGAAGCAGGGCCTTCTTTTTGTGGAGTGTATATGAACAATGATGATGCCAGTGTTGTCTGTGTTGACCTCTCAAGCCGCAAGGAAGTGAGCAGTAGCTTTGGCATCCTCCTCGTCGCCGTGAGCTTTCTTTATCGCTATGCGAGGGCATATGCATGGGGTCGTCCCCACGTGGTGCGCGATGCCGCCGATGCGCATGTGACCCGGCCGGTGGTGACCGGTGAGTGGACGGCGTATCCCGCATCCGCATCGCTTCTCTTGTCGTCCGTCACCGCGGGGTGGATGGCCTGAAACAAATGCTAGTCGCCTGGGAGTGGCTTCTTGGAGAGTAAGAAAACGCTTTGTTTCGTTAACTACTCGAGCATCAAGATTAGGTATTTTTTAGGTCAGACGGCTAGCTACATCGACCTAAACATATATTAGAAATCATAGCCAACCTTAGAATTATCGAAACTGCATAGTGAAATGTACCTCTGCTACCTCTAGTGTTTCTTGTACTAACTTTATAGTTGATGAATAGATCGGAACTTTTTTCCACAAAATAAAAAAAATGTCACACAAGTGTTCGGGCTACCAGGCTAGTTAAATCTCACTCTTCTACTTACTGCCAGCCACCTGGGCATTGAAGCTAGCTAAGAACGCCCCACACCTTGGCATTGGGTTTTATTTTATTTTTTGCCATTTTTACATAACTGATACAGGCTTTCCATGAAGATACTCCATTTTGAGCCAATAAAGTCCATCCTTAATTTGTCAAAAAAAATGAAGATGCCGCATGCATCGGCCTCCCTGGTCACCAAAACCCTGCTGCTTGGCCCTCCTACAGTCCTACTTCGGTGTCAGCTAGGCTTTCACGCTCTTCCTTGCGCTGGCTTGTAAAATCTTCATGTCTCTCTATTGATTCCCCGGCTTTTTGCCTGCTCAGCCCATCCAAAACATGTGGTTTTTCTGGGATCCTAAAGGTTACTCCCTCCGTTCTGAAATAGATGACCCAACTTTGTACTAAAGTTGGTACAAAGTTGGGTCATCTATTTTAGAACGGAGGGAGTACATAGCAGGCAGACACTAGTGCTTGTCAAAGTTGTCAGCGTGGGGCATGAGCATGCAAAAATCTTAGAAGAATCGATGCCTACATTAACAAGGAATAAAGAAGGGGGAAAAGGAAAGGAAAACATGTGAGGTTTTTTGGGATCTTTACAGGGCAGGTGGACATTAGTGTTTGTCAAAGTTGTCACCGTGGGGCAT